CACCAGTATTCTGGTTTCCCTAATTCATCCTGAGCAGCAGCATCTTCCTCTTGCCTCATGGATTTAGAGTYCCAGAATTTTGGAATAATCATTAAGGTTGGAACAGAGCTCTAAGATCATCCCAAATATTAACCCAGCATTTCTGAGGCCACTGCTAAACTCTGTGCACAATTGCCACATCAACASACCTCTGAGGGACATCTTCCACTAGACCAGGTTGCTCCAAGCCCCATCCAATTGATTGAATGGGGCAGCCACAGCTTCTCWGGGAAACCTCTGCCAGAGCCTCACCACCCTCACAGGGAAGAATTTCTTCCCAATATCTCATCTAACCCTGCCCTATGGCAGTGATAAGTATTTTCTCCTTGTCCTGGTACTCCTGGATCTTGTCCAAAGTCTTTTCCCATCTTTCTTTTAAGCCTCCTTTAAAAGAAGGTCTCTCCAGACCCTTCTCCAGGCTGAGCATTCCAGGAGCCAACTCTTTTTATGCCCTCCCTACTTCAGCTTCCCCAGGGGTCCAATTCCTGGTACTTTTCTCAGGAAAACGAGAGCAGAAATGAGGACCATCCAACCCCTTTCCTGAGGGATGTATGTGCTGGTGGCTCCTGGATCTCGCCTGCTAGGACCACTCTGGTAAGGGGTTTTGGCAGCAAATTTYCCATCTCAAGGTCAGCACTGGACAAGAGGAAACAGCCTTGAACTGCRCCATGGGAAGTTTYRATTGGATATTTGGAAAAATTTCTCCACTGAAAGGGAGCTCGGGGAGGTGGTGAAAWCATCGTCCCTGGAGRGATYGAAAATCCRTGTGGATGTGGCACTTGGGGATGCGTTTTAGTGGTGGCTTTGGCAGCACTGGGTTGATGACCTTAGAGGTCTTTTCCAACCTTAACAATTCCACGACTGGAGTTTGCACCAGGATTTTTTCCTTGGGAACGGGAGGCGCRAGCGGCGCCCGCGGGACTCGCGGCTCCGCAGAAAGCCCCGAGCTCAGCAGCGCGCGGCCCTGGCTGATAAATGATGCTCATATCCCATTCGAATATGATGCAAGCAGTTTTTTTGTAGTTTGTCTTCCATGGCGGTAGTAAAGTTTTTAATTAGGAAAGCTAATGAGATCGATTAGTCATTAGAAGTGACCTCTGGATCGCGGCGAGGAGTGGGGATGTGTGCGCCGGGCTGATAACGGGGGACGCTGGGGTATTGTTTGTAATAAAAGCGTGAAGTGTTTGATTTGAGTGAAATGTGCCACGGGGAATACATCACGCGGAGAGGAAAAAATTACAACCCTGGGAGCCTGTAATGAAGGGAATTAAACCAACATCCTGTCTAAATAACATGATTATCTACACAAAACCCCTCAGCTAGCAAGTAATAATAGAAAACGGAGCTCTTCGGAGAGGCTCTTTGAGGAGGTGGTTAATGCYGGAGTCGCGCATCAGGCACTTTCCAAGGAGCAGCTTCGGAATGAATACACCATCCAATTACCTCTGGGAATAGAGTTTACCAGGTGCCAGCCCGTTTTGGGGAAGGAGGAGGAGGAGGGGGATGCCTGCAATAATTTGGGACCTCTCTTTCTTGTCAGGCAGGAGTTTGATGCAGTTCTGGGTTGATTGGTGGCAGCTCAAGCTTGTGTGGGGGCAAATAAATGTTAATTATGTATTCAGTGAATTCCCAGCTCAGTAATTCCGTGAGGTCGGAGTGGAGGAGGGAAAGGGGCAACTTGTGCTGTTGCTGGGGAGGATGTGGGACTGTGGAGCTGCTTTGGGTACATGGTTGGTGCCGTATCCGTGAGAGCTTGGATGTGTCCACATGTCCTGGATGACCAAAGGGACAGAAGGCAGGGTTGGATAGGATATTGGGAATAAATTCTTCCCTCTGAGGGTGGTGAGACCCTGGCAGAGTTTCCTATAGAAGCTGTAGCTGCTCTGTCCCTGGAAATGTCCAAGGCTAGGTCGGATGGAGCAACCTGGGATAGTGGAAGGTGTCTCTGCCCCACGGTAGGGGTTGGAACTGGATGGTCTTCAAGGTCCCTTCCAACCCAAAACATTCCATGATTTCAGCACAGTCCCCCTGTCACCGTAGCTGGGATTTAATTGTGTGTGTGGTGTTGGTCCGTGCAGGGGTTGTCATCTCTGTCCTTTTGTTGTTCCTCTTTTCCTGTCCTAAATACAGTTCCCTGAAGGAAAAGGCTCCAAATTTGCTGGTACTCCAGAGCAATTTTAATTGTAATTAAAGCTTAAAACTTGCAAAGGCTTTAAAAGCCCACATGAGGATTTGGTCATTGCCCTGAAGAATTTGATCTACTGAAAAAAAAATCCCAGGACAGGGGAAGATGAAATCCTGTTTGCTTTCTGCATTCCTTCCTCTCTCTCTCTTCTTGCCTTACCTCTAAAGTGCTTCACCTTCAAAGTGGCTGCAATTCCTCTGTCATGCAATAGTTTTGGTGGGAAGAGAACTTTAAAGATCTTCTGGTTTCCAACCCCTTTTCATGGGCAGAGACACCTTCCACTATCCYGGGTTGCTCCAAGCCCCATCCAACCTGGCCTGGAACACTTCCAGGGATGGGGCAGCYACAGCCTCTCTGAGCAATCTGTGCCAGTCCCTCCCMACCCTCCCGAGGAAGAATTCCTTCCCAATATCCCATCTATCCCTGCCCTTTGTCAGTGTGTCCTGTCCCTCCATCCCTTGTCCCAAGTCCCTCTCCAGTTCTCCTGGAGCCCMTTTAGGCACTGGAAGGGGCTCTGAGTTCTCCCTAGATCSTTCTKTTCTCCAAGCTGGACATTCCCAGCTCTCCCAGAGGGGCTCCATCCCTTGGAGCATCTCTGTGGTCTCCTCTGAATCTGCCCCTTGGTTAGATCCCAGATCTGGAGGCAGCTCTGCAGGTGGAGTCTTATCTGAGCGGGGCAGTGGGGCAGAATTCCCATTTTCCTGCTGCCCACATTTTCRGTTCAGCCCAGGACATGGGGAATTTCGGGGATGTGAGCATGTGGTAGTCATGTCCAGCTTCTTATCTACCAACAGCCACAAATCATTCTTGATCCTGCTCCCAACCCATCCATCCCCAGGGTGGACTTGAACTGGGGATTGCTCCAACCCAGCTGCAGGACCTTACAGTTGATCTCCTTTAACTTCATAAGATTCCCATAGACCCRCAAAATGTCCTGATTTATTAGAATTACTTTATTTTAATTTTTATTCCAAATCACCAGAAGCTCTTGAATTTTCTTCCAGCTAATTTCTGCTCTACAATTTGTTCAGCATCAGCAGGTTGAGTTAAGGAATCTTTACTTGGAATATACTTTGGAACTCTACTGATTTTATAGATGCCTCTTGGTTCATGGTATTGTGCTAGTCTTGGGAACATGATTCCCTGCCCATGGCAAGGGGTTTGGACCTTGATGATCTTCAAGATCCCTTCCAACCCAAACCATTCTCTGATTCTGTGATCAAAATTCTGTTTAYTGAGATGATGCCAAAATAAAGTTTGCATGTAGACATTGTATTGATGCATTAATTACGCAAAAGTTCCTCASAAAAGTTGGAGGGATATGAAGGAGTCTTAAAATAACATTTTGGATTTAGGGTCTTGGATTCATCCAGGAATTGGAGGTTCCAGGCGCTGTGGCCTGGGCAAATGCAATGCCCAGGTAGAGCTGACTGGGATTTTTATATCAAACATCTTCCAAATTTGATTCCAGCCATATGAAAGAGATTATTTTGGTGGTGTCAAGGCTTTAAAGGTGGCATTGAGGGCTCTGAATCCCTCCTTGTGCTTCTTGCTTGGTTCTCATTTATCCCATGGGATCGGCTCGAGGAATGTTGTGAACTTCGTCTTTATCACAAAAAATTCCAGTGATTTTTCTGTTGTGCTGGAGCTTGATTTTCTCCTTTTCTCACCACCAACAGCTGTAACTTTTTTGCTGAGTTTGGGAGTGGAAATTTGTGTTGCCTGATCCCTCCCAAACCCATAACAACTCCTCAACTTGTTGGGAACGCTCAAGAAGGAAAAYATTTCCTGTAAGAAACTGTAAAAGCATGGATTGGTGTTAACGCTGTTGCAGGGAGATGGGGGAGCTGCTCCCTCCTTTCTAGGGAATGGCATCAGCTCTATAATGTATTCCCCTGTTTTTTTCTGGGAATCTACCTAATTCTCTCTCCTCTTACAGACACAAACATGGGGATGTGCCCGCATTTTCAGCGGAAATAACGATCCCGCTTTTCCCCTCCCAACMTCTCCATAATTTTAATGAGAGGATCTCCAAGAAAAACAGCCGGCCCTTTAAATCAGTTATAAAACCCAGAGACCGAGGCTCAGCATAGAGTGTCAGCTTCAATTATCTGGGCAGTTACAGCTGTGTGTTATAAAAGTCGGGCAATTAGGTGCATTCCTGAAAGCTCAGGAAAAAAAAAAAAAAAAAAAAAAAAAAAAAAAA